TCCGGGTCCGTGCAGTCAGTGATGGAGAGGGACTCCTCTGTTTGTGCGGTCAGGGACGGGGATGGATCCCCTGGTCCGTGCGGTCAGGGACGGGGTTGGACCCGTCTGTCTGTGCGGTCAGGGACGGGGATGGACCCCCAGATCCATGTGGTCAGGGACGGGGATGACCCCCGGGTCCCTGCGGTCAGTGATGGGGCCGTCACCCCCCGGTTGGGGACTCGGATGTGTTTTGTTCCGGGGGGTCCGCACAGAGCCCTGGAGCGAGCGGGGGGCTAGCGCACGGGAGTAGCGGGCACAGAGGCTGCGAGGGTAAACCCCGAGTAAACACTGAGTAAACCGGCTGTCAGCGCTGTTTGGGGAGCGCAGAATAGCGGGAAGTGAGGGCTCAGGTGAGCACCTGCTTGCACAGGTGCCGTCACCTCTGCCGGACTCAGGTGCGAGCCCTTGGCTGAGCAGGGTCCTGGCCGTTCTGCAGGATCGGCTCAAGACTCTGGAAATAGCGAGTGTCACTGGAGTTCCTCTTCACTAAAATTACTGCACGGGGGCATTACTAACGAGACATCAAAACTTCAGCCAGAATGACCAGCAGCGAACAAAAGCTATTAATATTTCATTTATTTTTTGGATTATGTAATTATTTGTCCTTAAATATTAGCCAAGGTTATTCCCCACAGTTACACCCTGATTTTCCTGCCCTCTGTGGCTGCCTGGCAGCGCCCAGAGCCCCGCAGGGTGGGTACAATGTTTGCCTGCGGAACAACTGTATCGCTTTAACTGGGATTTAGGTGAAGGAAACATTTCCCTCATTCATTCACTGTCATCCACAGCCACGTGCTGCCGTGGGTAACAGGTAGGAATGGTGTTCTTGTTTGTTTCCCTCTGGGGAAACAGAAGAGGTGTCCTCGCTTGTTTCCCTCTCTACAGCAGCGGGAGAACGCTGGTGAATGGGAACAAGCCCAGAAGAGCCCGTTTGAAATCAACATAACTTCCCCTGCACTGGCTCCCATTAAAAATAGCTCCAGAGGAGTTGGAGCTGGGGCTCTGGAGCAAGGATATGCAGAGGCTGAAGCTTGTGATTCAGGAACTGAAGCGAAGGTCAGAGAACAGAGTTTTATGGGTTTCCTACATGGCTGCAATACTACAAGCCATTACTCATCAGGAATTTGGCAGAGTAGTGGTGCCTAATATCATTAGATAATCCTAATGAATTCTTGTGTAATCAAATCTAATCTCTGGATGGGCTCAGCAGGCGGAGGCTGCGAGCGGCTGCAGGGCAGTGACAGAAGGGCTGTCACCAGAGCCAGGGGCAGAGCTGTGCCTGCTGAGCACCTTGAGCAGCTCTGCAAGCAGCGTGCCTTAAAATAGCTCCAGCACTGAGGGATAAATCCCAGCAACAGCACTGGGGAGAGCAGGGGAACGGGCTGCCCAGGGAGGGAGAGGAGTCTGCCCCTCTGGAGGCATTCCTCCACAAATACCAAATACCACATGTTTGCTTGTGGACTGCATTTGATTCTGGGTCTTGGTCAGTTCTTCAAAGGCTGAGGAGCTCATAGCATCCCAGAATGGTCTGAGCTGCTCCCAGTCCCATCCAACCTGGTCTTGGACACTTCCAGGGATGGGGCAGCCACAGCTTCTCTGGGGACCCTGTGCCAGGGCCTCCCCACCCTCACAGGATGTGATTTCTTCCTAATATCCAACCTAAACATATTCTCTGTCAGCTGGAATCCATTCCCCTTTGATGCTCTGATGGCCCCTCACCAATTTTTGGGCATTCAGCCAAAAATACCGACCAAGCTCTGCAAAGAACTTGCTAGATTTGAAGGGGTGGTGGCAAAGACAAGATAATCATGGAAGTTCCCAATGCAGGAGAATGTTTCCATTTGTCTTTAGGAGCTTGCTCTGGGTGCTGCTGCAGGCACTGTGAGTTCATGGGGCTCCTATGGTCTTACAGCACTGAAAAGAGGTAAAATTGTAGGGCAGCGTGGGAGTGGGAAAGGTCACCTGGGGAAGGAGCAGAGTATTCCCTTACAGGAATTTTCCCTGATAATGGGACCTACAGGAGGCAGCCCTGAGATGGGAACAGTCCTGTTCAAATGAGGGCTGGGCTCAGAGCCCACACACCCCCAGAGGGTCGAGGGAACGAACTCAAGAATTCAGAGAGGAAATAGTGAAAAAACACTTCTTGGTAGGTATCACTTCAGCCCTGGGAGCTGCACTGTGAATGTTTGGCCCAATTTCACATGTGGTTTCAGTCACAGGAAAACAACTTGTGAGGGATTTTCATTTTTTGCTATTGGAGTACTTTGTTCTTTTTCTCCTTTTCAAACCTTGTTCTGCTCCACTCCTACTTTATTTTTAGCAATTATGGAAATTCAGTAGTGATGAAAGATGTTAAAAGGAAATTTGAAGTCTGTTATTTGCTTTTTATTTCTATTGTCTTGTTTCATGTTGACAAATTTGCAACTAACAATTGGCTGTTTTGGAAACATAGCACCTCCAGCCTGCTGGGTGCCTTTGCAGGGGCTTTGTCTCTGCTGTTTTGGTTTTGTCTCTGCTGTCAGTTGCAGCTCAACAGCTCTGGAAGAAAAATGAGAGCAGAAGATATTCCAGGACTGCGAGGATCAATCTGCCTCCTCTTGCTCGTGGCTGGTCCTCACAATGGGCAGGATGATCCCAGAAGTTCTGTCCTCAGGGAGATCCATGCAGGCACTCAGGGATGAAAAGCACTCCTGGAACACCTCAGCCTCTCATGAAGTGCTGGAAAACCTCTCATTCCCATCACATTTTAATAACAGCAAGGTCAGAAGCGTGGGGAATCGGTGTGAGGAGAGAGAAAAACTAAAGCCTGCATGGCTGAGCACAAAAGGATCCACAGCAGCAAAAGTTCTCCAAGTCCTCAGGATCTCAGAATGGAAGTTGCTCAGAAGCAAACTGTAATTATTTCATCTGTTCTCTGGGGAGAGTAAGGAATATGAGCCCTCCTGATGGAGCCACACAAGTGATGCACACAAGAATTCCCAGAAAATGAGCCATGAGAACGCTGCATACACCAGAGAGCTGTCCCAGCTCGTTGGAAATCAGCTGATTTTCCTGAATTCCAGCACCCCACAGCCAGAATCCCAGGGATTTATTGAGGGGAGGTTATCCTGGCAGACAGTGTTCAGTTCTAGAAGTCTCTAGAATTTGGATGCCTACCTTTTGCTCTCACTTCAGTGAACTGTGTTGGGAAATATTTAGCAGGAGAAAATAAATTGGATTTAACTCTCATTTTCATGGCCATTGATTCTTTAACAAAGGGCAAAGATTGCTTTGTCAATGCAAAAGGAATATTTCCATTTTCTGACCCCAAAGCAGCAAGGGTTGGTTGAATAAATAAGTTTGTACTCATTTGTTTTCCTCCACTCTGATGCTTTTCTGGAGCACATCACAATGCAAAAGGAACTAATGATGGATAATTGGAATTCATCCCTGTGAGGCCTCTGTCACACTCACGTTTTCTGGAAAAATCCCTTTGCCCAGGGTTTTCTCCTGGGAAGCTGTGAAGCCTCAGAGAGAAAGGAAAACAAATTCTCATCTCATTTGCTTCTCCTGTGTTGTGCTCACATGTGGAATGTGTTTGGGGATTGTTTACCCACAGGTGATTGTTTCATTGGATTCTGCTGTGAATTATTTTGACTTAATGACCAATCAGTGACAAGCTGTGTTGGGACTCTGGAAAGAGTCACAAGTTTTCATTATTATCTTTTTAGCCTTCTGTAAGTATCCTTTATCTATTCTTTAGTATAGTTTAGTGTAATATTCTTTAATATAATATAGTATCATAAAATAATGAATCAGCCTTCTGAGAACATGGAGCCAGATTCATCATTCCTTCCTGCCATGGGGCACCCCACAAATACAATATCCTCCCAGCATTGCCATTTTATACAGCAGAACTTCACAGAGCAGCACAGCTCCTTCCAGCACTCACACGCACCAAACCCCTCCATCACTCGTGCTTCTCTTTGCTGCAAGTAGAAGCCAAAATTACATTGAGTATTTTGAATTAATATCCCGCAGGATGAGTAAAGATTTATTTCGGTGTGGGGGATGATGCAGAAGATCCGTTCTGTTGACAGCTCTGAAGAGAAGCTCCCACAAGAAAGTGAAGATTTTACAGAGTCTCCATCAACTTCAGTGAACTGCGGGAGAAATGGAGGAGAACCCAGGAATTGTGATTCCCTGCTGGAGAGGGGCAATCCCACAGCACCTTTCCAGGGACAGGCCTGGGAGCACAACCTTGGTGCCTTTCATGAGAGACCTGTGGGGACACTGGAGGTGTTTTATGGACGGGTGGGATTCGTGTCCCATTTGAGATCTTTGAGTGCATTTGAGATCCATCCGAGTGCATTGCTGAGCTCCCCTCTCGGGATGCTCTGCACCAGGGAGGGATCAGCAGGAACCGCTGTGGATGGTGACAGAAGGGGACAGGGAGGGAAAGTGGGGTCAGGAGGGGACAGAGAAGGACAGGAAGGGACAGTGGGGTCGAGAGGGGACAGGGCAAGACACGAGGGACAGGGAGGAACAGTGGGGTCAGGAGGGGACACGAGGGGATAGAGAGGGACACAGAGAGGACACGGACAGTGGGGTCAGGAGGGGACAGAGAGGGACACGAAAGGTCAAGGGGGGACAGGGAGGGACACGAGGGCACAGAGAAGGACACAGAGGGACAGTGGGGTCAGCAGGGGTCAGAGAGGGACACTGAGAGGACACGGACAGTGGGGACAGAGAGGGACACGAAAGGTCAAGGGGGGACAGGGAGGGACACGAGGGAACAGCCCCGGTCCCGCCCCTCAGGGCGCGGCGCGGTCCCTTTAAGACGCTCCCGGTCACGTGACTGACGCGGCACGTGGCCCCGCCGCCAAGATGGCGGCGCCCGCCCGGCTGTGCCGCTGCCTCCTCCCGCTGCTGCTGGCGGCCATGGGAGCGGGAGCGGCCGCCGGGACCCCCGGCACCGCGGGCTGCGGCTGCAGCGCCAACCGGGCCGCCGGGGACGGGCGGGAGGAGGCGGCGCAGCGCTTCTCGGCGGCAGCGGCGGCGGGCAGCGGGCGGAGCGGCTGGCAGGGGCCGGTGAGCGGCGGGGCCGGGCCGGGAAGGGGCTCGGCCACCTGAGGGGTGGCCGTGGAGGGGCACGGCCTCCTCCGGGGTAACGGAGCAGCCGGGGGACTGCTGTGGGGAAAGTTAAATTAAGTTATGGGCGGGTGGGGCGGAACTGGGCTTGGGCGCAGGTGCTGCTTCGGGCCCCACCTCGCTCTTGCCTCGCGGAGAGAACGGGAAACGTGAGGGAATTTATCTCCTGCTGCCTCTGTTCTGGTGCTGGGAAGCTGCGTCAGCCTGAAAAAGCCTGTGTGCAACAGGCAGTGGGGAACTCGCTTCATAAATTGGAGAATATTTAGGGTATGAATTGAATAATCCCTGTTGTGCTTGGCATCCGTGTCACCGATGGATATTTTGTGTGATAAACTGAGCAGTTCACTGTAGGTCTGGAGGATGAAAAAATTCTCTGACCCTTCGTGCAGCTGGCAGCTCCAGCAGTAGGTAATGCAAGCTAATTACTAATTAGCTCACAATGCAACTTGATGATGCTCAGTTAGAAAATGTCTTTACCAGCAGAGAAGTGAGGGAAGAATTGGCCTCTGTATCACCCACAAACAGGTTTATTTATTTCCAGCATGGTTTTAGAACTGGGGAGCCAGCAAGAGTTAATTTTGCACATGGTTTTAGCCCAGTGAGCTCAGCCTGGCTTGGAAACCTCCTGAGGGAGTCGTTCCAGCTACCGAGGCTTGAAGAGAGATTGGGAGGGAGGAAGTGGTGCAACTTTGTGTTGTCATTTCCTAAGTCCTAAAAAATGTAAGCAAATTTATCCTGAAGGCCTTTTATGGAGTCATTTCCAGACTGTCTGTAAGAGCTCAGATTCTTCTCAGTGGAGAACTTTACAAGGACACAGCCAGCTTCAGATGGGGGTAGTCTGAAGGAGAAGATGTTTGTAGCATTTTTTATGGGCCAGTTACAAGTTGTGTGAATTTTAGGTGTGGCTGGGAGAGAGCTACAGTGGAGAAGGAACACAGAAATGGGATGAGAAAGGTGATGCCAAATCCTCATTCCCCTGCCCTGAAGAGGCAGGAGAGATGCTGGGGAGCTGCTATGAGCTCATTGTCTGCTCCTTTGCTGCAGAAATAACAGCTCAGTGTAACATAGGAAACACAGCATGTTTCTCCTCATGGGAGCACAGGCATGACCCAGACTTGCTGTGAAAAATGGGGATTTGTTCCCAATTACATTTCTGTTTGCTGTGTCCCCAAATGGGCTGCCCAAAATGCCGTTTCCAAATCAGCTGCAGAGGTGAGGAGCAGAGCAGCCTGTGCTCCTCAGTGTCTCACTGTGCCTCCCTGGGCTGTTTGCTGTGCAGATGGTGCTGATCCCAGCTGGGGTGTTCACCATGGGCACCCAGGAGCCCCAGATCCAGCAGGATGGAGAGGGCCCAGCCCGCAGGGTGCACCTTGGCAGCTTCTACATGGACCAGTACGAGGTCAGCAACCGGGACTTCGAGAGCTTTGTCAACGCCACGGGCTACGTCACTGAGGTGAGGCACCAGGGCTCCCCTCAGCCTGGGACAGCCCCAGCTGGAGCCAGCTTGTCTTGTTGAAGCATGTCACAGCATTGTTTGGGAATTGCACACTGCAGGATTTCTGCTGGAGATAGAGGGAGAGGGACTTGCCCTGCTGTCCTGGGCTGAAAGGGCAGGCAGGGGTTTGTTGCTGTGTTTAGTAATTGGCATCTCAGCTCATGTCTGCCCTGCAGCCTGGGTGAGGCCAGCAGGTCTCCACAGGGGCTTTTGGGGTGGTTTGCTTGGGGTTTTTTGGTGTTTGGGTGCTGGAGTGTAGGAGAGTGCCCCCTGTTAACAAAGTGACAAAACTCTCCTTTGTCCCCTCAGAAAGGAAAGAAGCCCAGAAGTTTCTCTCCTTGATTAGGTGCAAAAGCCCCCTCACAGGCCGGGGGGACTTCACCTCAAACTTAAGGATGGCTATTGGACAGGAGCCAAAAAGCCCTACCTGGGCAATTTACTAGAAAAAGAAGAGAACAAAGAAACTAATGGCTTTTGTGAAGTCTTTTACCAGGAGCAAGGACCTCCTGCACCTGGCTCGGTTTTTCTGTTTGTTATTTTGCCTTTTATTAAACTTTTTTTGTTTCCAACACTGCACAGAAGCCATCCTGCTGATTTTTATGCCTCCAAGGGTAGCTGAGCTATCTTGGGTGTGTTATAGACCTCTGAGAGCCTATGAAACCTGGCTCAAAGGGGCTGCTATAACACTGGAGCTCTTTGTACCAGGTTAGATTCTCCTTGTTTTAGAGAAACCTGGAGAAGGGATTTAACAAACTGAGATGGCCAGGGGTTCTGCAGGCTGGCTCAGCACAGCTCTGCTGGTGACAGACAGAGAGCCCTGTGCCTCAGGAGGAGACAACAGCAGCTGCAGTGACAGTTGTGTGCCTGTTCCTGGGGACAAAGGACCAGGAATGTGTGGAGGTTCCTGCCAGGAAGGAGCCCCTGTGCCTGGAGCTCAGATCCCTCCTGGCAGGTGCCTGTTCCCACACAGCTGTGACAAACCCTGACAGCCCTTTCAGGGAAGTGGAACCTGGGCAAGGAGCAGCTCTCCAAGGAGGCACTTTGCTGAATTCACTTGATGAACTGGCTCTCATTTGGAAGGCAGGATCCTCTGGTTGGATGAAGAGCTTCTTTTGTCTGCTATTTCTGTTTCTTAGCTCCACAATTATGAAAAAAGGGAGGTTTAACTAATGTGAGTTGGAACAAAGCTTGCTTGTAGCAAACAGCTTCTGGGATGAGCACGTGTGTGGTGGGTTAAATGTGGCATCACAGAATAGCCTCAGCTTGAAGGGACCCCAAGGATCATCAAGTCCAACCCCTGGCTCTGCACAGACACCCCAGCAGTCCCACCCTGTGCCTGAGAGTTATCCAAATGCTCCTGGAGCCCTGGCAGGCAGAACTGCATCACCTGGGGGCTGCTGCAGACCCCATGGCTCAGCTGGTGGCATTGAGGGCTCCACCTACACCTCCTCACTTTTTTTCTCTTGGTATAATGTACTGTGATTGATGGAAATTATTTGTATTTTTTATTATTTTATATTGATATAATGCTAGATATAATGATTGAGTTACTTTTAACTCTTTATTGTTGTAGCAGCACTTTTAAATGTGGTACTAGTGATGACGGAGCACTAAGTGACAAGGCTCAAGTCTTTTATTGTGATTCCCAAAGCAAAAATAAGAGGAATGAAACATGCCCTTTCATATTAGACTGATGACTGTAGCATCTGAAAGCAGTTGGGACAATCAGAACTGCATTTTTAATGAATAAAAGTAAAAACATGTGCAGAAGCTCAGTGAGCTGCCATCTGCCCAGTGGCTGCTGAACAAAAACAACATCCAGAGAAAAGATCCCTTCTTTTCTGTTCCAAAACAGCTTCCTTGAAAGAGAACTCAAATTCACTATTAGAATTTGTTTGGTCAAAGGTTGGACTTGATGGCCTTGGAGGGTTTTTCCACCTTAAGGATTCTCTGAATTTTCTAATCCTTGATAAAACAAAGCTGTAAGCGTTCAGTGTGGTTCCAAGAATAGCACTCCTTTGCTGACATAATGGTTGAATCCTTTGTTCTTTCCACAGGCAGAGAAGTTTGGTGACTCCTTTGTGTTTGAGGGGATGCTGAGTGAGGCAGTGAAGGCTGACATCCACCAAGCAGTGAGTAGCACAGCAGGGGGAAGCTCCCTGGGCAATCCCTGGGCTCTGGTGGCAATCACAGCAGGGAGAACTGAGCTTTGTGGTGTCCCCAAAGGCAGGTGCAAAAATGGGAATTATGGAGAGGTGTTTGGCCAGGAATCATGGGCTGAAGTGGGGAGGATTTGCAATCTGTTTCCTTTTTTCTTTAAAAAGCAATTAAAAACATCAATTCCTGATGAGCAAAATTTGGTATCAACCCCTTGTTGTCTCTCTTTGCCCCCACCTGAGTTGTTCAGGCTGTCTGTAAGATTCCTTATGTTGTGAATGGCTGGGGTTTATGATGTTTGCTCCTCCCTAGAGGATCCTGTGTTCATTTGCTGTTTTTCCAGCTCCCCTCATCCCCCTGGGCACTGCAGTGATCCTGGAGGGGCAGTGCTGCCTCCTCTGGGGCTGATCCAGTTTTCCTGTTGAGTGACAGTGAATATTGGTTTAAAAAGAAAGAAATTTCTGTACTAAACCTTCCCTGCCCTCTTTCCTATTTTTCTGTTGTGAATGTGTTGCTGAGCCTTCCTCAGGCTTCCTTTACCTCCTCCTGAGCAGGTCAGGTCCCCTTTGCACTCCTGGCAGATAAGCAGATTGTATCCTGCCATCTCCTGGGTGAGCTGATCTGCTCTGAGCACAGGTTTGGACAAAATCACCTCCTGAGCCCCCTCCTGTCAGAATTCCCCTCGCCTCTGAAGGGGCACAGTTTGATTTCTGTTTTCCAGGGGCAGCCTGAGAGAGGGGAGGTTTTTCAGGAAGCCCTGTGTGAGTGTGTGCTCTGAGGGCCTGGCAGAGAACGTGGGATTTGGGTTCCTGCTGCCAGGGAAGGAAGATTACAAGTGCAGTTTGTAATCTTTTAATTCAGGACTAGCATTTGTGCACTGGGAGAGATAAGGCTAAATTGCAGTTCCCACCACCAGCATAACTGATGCTAAATCTATCCATGGATTTGTTCTGCCTTCATAAAAATAATAAAAAATACAAATTAAAAAAAATGAATGGCTCATCCCAACAGAAAAGAAACTCCTTTTCCTGTGTAGCTCTGTGTTGCAGAAATCCCTAAATCAGTGTCTGTGCTTTAAAACAAACAAACAAACCCCAAGAATGCTGCTGTTAGCTCAGCCTTGGCAATTTTGTAAACACAGAGTGTTGGGAGCCACTTTCCTGAGTGTGTCAGCCAAATTTCCCCGTGCTGGCTGCAGTGCTCACAGGACAAGTGTTGTGCCAGAGGCCTGGATGGAGCCCAAACTGGTCTTTTTTGGCTGCTGCTTTCTGAAGGTTTTCTGGAGCTGTTAAAATAAACTTACTGTGAAAAGTCGCCTTCTTCAATCATAGCTATCAGATGAAAAGCAGAAAGAAGATATAAATATTGGTGTGTTACTGGCACTGCAAATCCCTCCAGGTAACCAGTGGGAGAGAGGACTGTGGTTTTCCTTTGCCTCAGTGGCTCAGCAGTGTTTTGACAAGGATTTTCTCCAGTTGAAGCACAGGCATGTGAAATACAAATGTGAATATAGGGGAAGAGCAACAGGAATGTAAATTTTTAAAGCAGTATTTCACATGCAGTGAAATAACTGGGGGAAGGTGAAGGTGGAGGTACCAAACTAAATCATTTAGAAGTGATGAGCTGTGTGTCTGTTGGGGGTTTTGCTCTGTTTGGCCACTTTGTGTTCTCCAGTTCTGAAGGCAGATTGAGCAGAGCCTCAGAGGCACAGGCTGAGGCAGAGCTGGGGCTGCTGAGGAGTGAGCAGGGTGATTGTTGGAGCTCTGGGTGTGCCTTTCCTGGAGGTGAGGTGGGCTCCTCATAGCCACTGGCAGGAATGTGGGCTGGCCTCAGCTCTGGAAGGGAAGCAGTAAAAAGGGGTGGAGCAGCCAGGGATGGAATTGTTGTACATTTCTGGGAACTCAGGTTTTAGTTTTGGCCTCCAAGTTTGTGGTGGTCACGTGGCTGAGGGAGGATTTGGTGCTGTGCACATGAGGAAGTTACTGATGGAACAGGGGAGGGCTCCTTCAAATGCAAAAGGATTTTGTGGGGTGAGGGGGGAAGGCCCTTTGAAGCTGAGATTATTTGTGAGGGCTTAAAAAATTGAGAGCTTCACCTCTTAAATTCTTCACATGCAACCTGGAGAGGAGAAGGCTCTGAGAGACCTTGGAGTCCATCCCAGGGCCTGAAGGGGCTCCAGAAGAGGTGGAAGAGGACTTTGGAAAGGGACAGGACACAGGGAATGGCTCCCACTGCCAGAGGGCAGCAGGAGATGGGATATTGGGCAGGAGTTGTTCCCTGGCACAGGTGCCCAGAGCAGCTGGGGCTGCCCCTGGATCCCTGGCAGTGCCCAAGGCCAGGCTGGATGGAGCTCTGAGCACCCTGGGACAGTGGGAGGTGTCCCTGCCATGGCAGGGGTGGCACTGGGTGGGATTTAGGGTCCTTTCCAACCCAAACCATTCCATAATTCCATTTTATTCTGAGGGATTTGAGAGCTTTTGCCAATCCCTGCAGGAGTTTCCTTGCTGCCCAGCTACCATGGATGGCACAACAGGAGGGCAGCCTCACTCTTTGCCCACTGGAGAGGAGTGGGGACATTGTTGTTCTTGTCTCATGGAAGGCAGAAAAATTAATTTTTGCTTCAACACCAGATAAATTCTGCACTGAAGAGCCTGAGAGCATACAAATGTGTGCTGCCTTTGTGAGGGTATGGAATTTTGAGTCTGGAATGCAGTGGAATTGGCTCACTGGCAGCTCAAGCCAGCACTAAGTTCTGGCCAATCCAGAACTGTGGGATGCTGCTTCCATCCCTGTCTGTATGGAAACCTCTGCAGTGGCCTGGAGCTGTGCAATTTGCCTGTTTGACAGTAACCCCAAACTGAAACATTCTGCATTTCAGCTGAACACCCCAAGGAGCTGCTGAGAGGAGCCCTGGCTGCAGGTGGGCCAGCAGTGCCAGTGTGGGCAGGGTGAGCTGTTCTCACAGCCCCCACTGCTTCAGCTGCTCCCTGCAAGGAGCTGGGAGATGGAGCTGCTCCTCTGTGGGCTTTTGTGCTCTACTCCCACTGCCAAGAGGGATGTGCAGGAATTCTCCCTGGGAATTGCCAGGAACATCAGCCTGTGTCATCAGAGCTGCACTTTAAAGCAGGGCATGGTTTGTGCCTCAGGATAAATCCGTGCACATCTCCTCTCCTTGCAGCTCATGTGCTCTTGGTTAGTGGAAAAAATGACCAGTTGGAGTGCAGATTTAGAGGTTGGCTGGAAATGAGACTTCCAGAGGTGTCTGCCTTCACCAGGAATATCAGTTCCTCAAAAGAAGCTTCTTGTGATTCCAAAACTTGCACTTAATGAATCTGACTGGATTTGAGCATCACGTATTTGTGGTTATTTTTCTTGGAGGATTGACAGGGCTGTGAAGTTTTACACTGCCTGAACTGAAGTTCAATGACCTTTCCTTGTGCAAAGAAAAGGTCCCTTCATAGAAGTGCTTGTTTCCAATCAAGTCTGAAATATTTTTTGTAGTTGATGACTTACAAAGTAAAATTAAATATATTTTAAAGCTGCTGCCTTTCCTTGGTGTGCAGTTTCAAACTGCTGTAAAATGCTGGATTTTAAGGCAGATAATATTCAATATTAAACAAACCCCCTTGTTGCTTCTGTTCCTGAGCTCATGAGGGAGGCCATTAACATTAGAAATTAAGAGTGAGAACAGATTCTTCTGTAATTAGAGCTTTGAGGGAGCTGGGACTTTTAATTGATGGAATAAATAGCATGGGAATTGCAGGAGCTGAAATCAGGCATTCACAGCATCCTGAGAGGGACCTCTGGAGATGCCAGTGCAGCCCTGATGCAGGTGTGAGCTGCCTGCTGGACACATCCTCTGCTCACTGTGAGTTCTGCTTGTGTGGGGCAGCATTTCCCAGTCCTGGCTCAGTCCCTGTCTGTAATTACAGCAGGTTTGTTCTCTCTGGGGACACTGAAGTGGATCCTTTGCACAGTAATTATTTTTATTTCTTCAACTTCTCACCCTACTAAAAATGTTCTGTTTTCTGTCTGCCTCTTTCTTCAGTAGTTCATTAATCAGTGCTCAAGGTTTAGGATCTGGCTTAGAGCATGAAGAACTGTCAGAGATTTATGTGTATCTGCCTTACATGAATAAAATAAAACCTCATCCAAAAATTATGTTCTTTACTGAATAACAAATTTTTCCTCACATCCTACCAATGCTAACAAGATCCTCTTGCATATTAAAGATGTGCAGAGCTCAACACCATCTGATTGAAACAAGTGGTAACCTATTAAGTCAGCTTCTGAACTGGAGTGGTTTTAAGTACTTTTTAAGAACCCGCCACTTAATAAATGAGTTTTAAAGTGGCTTCCACACTTGGGCTGCTTTTCACTCAAAGTCTCTTTTAACACAGTTAATTCTGAAGTTCTTACTCTGCAGTCACTTTTGGTTTTTTCCAGCTGTTTATCCTGACCTGGAGTATTTTAAAATACCGTATTAAAATAGCATTAGAATGCTGTAGCACAAAAAAAGCTGATGTTTGGTGCAGTATGACTGGACAGCAGCACGAATTTGTCATATCTTGTGGGCCTGCCTTAAAGCTCAAATCCACAGCTTTGTTATTTCAGGGGACTTGCTGCTTGATGGAAATGTTGGAGCCTGTGCCAAGATGAGCTCCTCTGTTGAGTTTATTTTTGGTAATTTTTGGGATACATAAATCTGATTTGAATTTGAGATTGGCTCCTCAAGTGGGGGCTGTTTTTCTCTCGAACGTGGCCTGTGACAGGTTAGTGCAGGAATAATAAATGCTGTGATGGCTTTGGGGTGGTTTTTAGTGGTATTGCCCTACTGCAGCAGCAACAGGGTAATGCTGACAGTGAAACTCACTCGGTGATGGTCCCCACTCTAATTTTCTTTTCTCCATAGATTTAGGAAGGAATTTTCTTCAAGCTAATTGTGAAGTAGTTTAAGAATCTTGACATTGTGAGGTAATGGAGCAATTAAAGCTAGGCTGTCCCAGCCCACTTGGAAAGGCAAATGGAATACTTAGGAGGAGAGTTTTCTGCAGGCTCTTAGTGGGAGCTCAGGCTCCAGCTCTGCAAATTGCTCTGCCCCAGTGCAAAGCTCGTGGGCTGGAATTAATTCTTTGAGCTCTTCCCAGTGCTAGCACACTGGGCTCTCTTTTCACAGCTCTCTGGGTCTGCAAGAAGCAGAACAGGGAGTTCTCAAGGTTTAATCCTGGAGGGGAGAGCAGGATAATCCCCATTTCCAGCTGGATCAGACCAAACCAAGCCTTTGTGCCTCTGCTTTGCTGTGGGAATGTTTCCCTGTGCACCAGGACTGCAGGGCAGGTGGGGTAACCTGGCACAGGTGACATGCTGCAAGAACTACCCACAAGGAGGGGGATTGTGCTCTGATTCGAGATCTGATCAGCAGCATCTGCTGCTGTTTGGACAGCAGGAATCTGTTCTGTGCACAGAACGTGTTTCGGAGGGAAGCAGAACGTGAAGTGTTATGAAAGTAACTAAGCTCATTATTGGCAGGGGAGGACTTGGCTGTATTAACTGTGATGTTGTAATATCTCTGTCTAATTAGCTCTTCTGCTAATTAGATTTAGAGCAATTAAAAGCTTGAAAGACTTGGGAGAAGTTCTGGGAGGGAACTGTGGATTCCAGGTAGGAGATTTCTGGAAGGAGCAGCTCGGGGTGTGTTAGCAGAGCCAGGGGCTGCCTTGGATGAGTCTCAGGTAATTCCTGCAGGCTCTGGGTGCTCTCCCTGTTATCCTGCCCCAGCCCTGCATGTGTGAGTGCTCTGGGTGCTCTGCAGGGCCTGGCAGCCATTTGGGGCTCAGCAGAGCCCCAGCCGGGAGCTGTGCACACGCAGTGAGAGACATTCTTCTTGGGTTAAAATAAACCAGCCTGATTGAAAGCATCTGCTTTTTCTTTTGCATCACAAAAATGTTTTCCAAAATTAAAGTCGTCTAAAGTGTAAATCTTTGCAGTCTCCTGCAGAGATGTTTTTATCCAAAACCCAGCAGTTTAATTTACAAAAATATGCTGTGCTTAGAAACTGTCGAAATCTTTCTTGTGATCTTTCAGATTTTAGCTTTAGCAAGTGGTTCTGCTGCTCTTTTATTTTCCTTAAATAGCTGTAAAATGCTAATTTTGGATTTCTGTCCTATTTCCAGTGTAGTTTAAAGGTCAAACCTCAACATGGGCAAGGAATTGGTTAAATCAGACTAGTTTTAAATCTTGGCTGTTGTATCAGTTTAGCTGCCCATCACTCTGAAGTTTAGTGCTGTGAAGTTGAGCAGAGGATCTGCAGGAAGGTCTCACTCTGGGGTTTGAAGCTTTAGTCCAGGATTGCTGATTGTTGATTTCCAGGGAGCTTTTCCATACCCAGATGTGCTGCAGGCCAAATCTGTGTGTGCTGGGAGGGGAGGAGGGAAAGGCTGGCAGAGCACAGCCTGATGAGGCTCCAGACCCAGGGTGATGTGTGTGTTTGGTCACTGGCTATTGAAATCTCCACGTCAGGGATTTGATGGGTAGCTTGGAGCAGAGTTTTCTCAGCAATCTCTGTGTGACACAGATAATCCACACAGGTAATTACATGTTCTGTTGAAGGATGCAGCTTCCCCCTAGAAGCTGCTGTTAGAATTGTTTGCCCAGACTGGTTCTGGGTCTCCTCAACACCAGCTTGCAGCGACTTTTTGGACTTTGCTCTGAAGGTTTGGTGAGTTAAAGGGTAACACTCCTGGCTCCTTTCCTACCTCTGTGAATAACACTTGACAAAGTCAGCCTAGGACTAACCAGCCTCTGGCTTGTTTACCTCCTAAACCATTCCAGGCTTATTTTCTCTGATTTTTGTTCTTTATAGGCATTATCTCTGTAATAGGAATAGTTTGGAAGCTGCTGCAATAAACCCACTGTTGATGTGTGGCATAAATGTTCCTTTCTTTGCCTCAGTGAAGGTCCCATTATTAAAATAATTATTTGTAAGTGAATATGAATCAGAACAGTTAAGCATTGCTTTGAAGTAAGCCTTATAGAAGAAATCCCTAAAGAATGTCTTCCAGGAAAAACTCCTTGGCATTGAAGCACCAAATTTGGGACTTCTGGTTTGAGAGAGCTACTCAATGTCTGCATTGCTACAGATTTTGGCTGTGTGATGTTTCCCAGCAAACCAGCTGGGCAAAAAAAAAAGAGAAAGGCTTCATGCTTCACTTCCCTTGTGTGGTTCTTCTGTCTCCACCTTCTGGAAGCTGAGAGCAAATAATTTAAAATCAGCTGATGGGTTAATGACCTGGAAAGCAAATGTGTTGCAAGATGAGTGTTTGACCCCCAGCTAAAGGGCATCATCAGGGATTGTTTCAGTGATGTCAAAACACTGAGTCCAGGGAGTAAATAATTAGGGTGAAAATGCTCTTTAGGCCAAAATTGTATTTTTTTTTCCTTTCTGCAGATTGTATCAGACTGAAGTCAGGCAGGAGCTGGAATTCATGCAGGCACAGGCTGGTTTGGGTTGGGAGGGATCTGGTGGCTTTCAGCACATCCCTTGGCTGGGAATTGAGCGTCCTTCCCTGCTGCTCTTGTCCTTTTGCAGGTGGCAGCTGCTCCCTGGTGGCTGCCTGTGAAAGGAGCCAGCTGGAGGCACCCTGAGGGCCCCGGCTCCAGCATCTCCAGCAGGTGAGCCCTGAGCACCCATCCCACCACAGAACCCAGGAATGCCCCCGCTCCCACGGGAATGGGGCTGCAGGAAGGGCTTGATTCAGTCCCCTGCTGCTTCTGGGGCTGTCTGCCACCTTCTGTGAGCTGCATGCAGCTTGCCATGGCCAAAGGCAGTGCTGGAGAGCACAAAGGTCTGTCAGAACTGTGCTGACTGAGCCTCAGTGTTTGCTGTTGGTGGCTGTGTGCCAGCAGGGAGCACAGCAGCTCTGCCAGGGTCACAAACTCCTGACCTGGCTTTGGAGGGGAGGAATCAATCCTCAGTGTGTGCACACTCTGCAGTCTGGGCACTCTGAACTCTTCCATGTGGCATTTGGAAGCCTCTTTCTCTGGCAACAGAAGACTGAGGAGTTTTGTGCTGTTTTCACTGTATTCTGACTCTGTGAAAAAGCAGGTGTGACAGTGTAAAACCTCTGAATGCTTTGGAGAACTCTGCTTTTTCTTACAGTTAGTGCCACACTTTGCTTGCACAAACTCTGAAACTTGCTGGTCCTTGTCTTCATACAATTGCTTTCCATTCTGAAGTGGGATGAATTTTAGGCCTAGAAAATCAAATTACTGTCTTCATTTGGGCCCTCTAACATTGCAACTGCTCCTCTGACTAGGTGGTGTCAATGAAGTTGGCACTTTATCAGCTAGTGAAAGTTTCTAACAGCATTTTGAAATCAAACTAGACTCTCTAGCCTAGATCTAGTAGGGTTTTGAGTCCTCTAAGGACAGGACGTTGTTAGTGCACCATCATCTGATGGCTGAAACGCTCAGTAACGAGTTATCTGCTCTCCAAGGGCAAGGAAAGAATTATCTGAGGCAAAAATAGAGATAATAGCTGGAGGCATTGTTAGGGGGAGCCAGGAATTGAGGTCAGAGGCAGCAGACAGGAGCTGGAAACCTGCCATGAAATTGTGGGCTGGTGCAGACCTGGCCTGGCACAGCTGCTGGGAACCTGGCAATGGCCCCAGGGGTCAGCAGGGATATACTGGGTTCCTAAATGGGGCAGGAGGAGAAGTTTGTAGGAAGTTCTTCTCTCTCCTGGACCTTCAGCTCTGGGAGCATCTTGGACTGTAGGAGGCTTGGATGGGTTCTGCAGGAATGCCTGGGCATTTTTTTTGTCTTTTTCTGGAAAAAGGGACAAGGATTTTAATGCCAGTCCTGGAAGCAAACCCCATTAAAGATGGGGGCTCTTGTGTGAACTGTGACTGCTTAGAGCACCCAAGGAAAGTCACTTCCCAGCTAAATTCCTGCAGGGCGCTGCAAAAGCTGGTAGAGTTGGTGAGACTCTTCCTCATGTCACCTCTCCCTGAAAGCCCCACAGCTGACAGCAAGGACAGCACCAGAGCAGCAGAGGAGCCACAGGGGAGGGGAGAACAGCCACCATTCAATTGTGAAGTGCATTTTCCTGCTGAGCAT